TCATCTGAACATGCATACTTATAAGGGTGATGCTAGGGCCAGTTCATACAACATACAAGATTCAGTGCACTAACTGATTAATTAAGCTCTTGAGGGAATGAATGAGTGTGCTGGATCTTGTATGCTTTACATATAAATACATTTTCTAAACAAACATAGCAGCATTTACATATGGGTTAGCTCCTCCCCTCACAGAAGAAAGGACTGGCCCTCAATCTTTTTTCCTGTCCTTCACAGCAGTTGGGAAGTAGTCTGCTTAGCAGGCCTAAATTTTTATTTCAGACGCACCAGGCCAATTTGTTTTTAGGCCCAGTTAGGGTTCAGCCGATAATCTCTGCAAACCAAGCAAACTGCACATATGCAAGAAGTGCCTCATTGGTTACCCCTTTTAGTGACCTGGGGTTTGACCTAACTTTCTCCTGAGGAGATGACAATGGGGTATTGGATACATAAGGCCAAGCCAGGGCTAGTACTCTTTTCCTGATGACAAAATAAACTAGCCCTTACATAAGGTGGGTCTGGGCATGCCACTTATATATACTCCACCGTGTCTGGGGTCTGTTATAAACCTTCCCCCAAAAGGTAGATCCTCAGCTGCTGTGTAACTTCCATGATACTTTGGCAGCTGTGGATCTACCCATCTTTGCAGGGTTGAATTCGTGTGCAGTATGTGTGTGTGCAATTCTAGGCATTTTTTTGTATGGGGTATGTTTGTGAATGTCTTAATGCGGGGATGTATTTGTGTCTAGTGTTGGCACTTGAATATAGGGTCTTTTTGTTGGTGTTTGCATGCAGGACTGTATTTACATATATACATTATGACAAAAAGCTGTGGTTTGGTTGATCATATTATATTGATTTGCATCATTGTCCCTGGACTGCCTCCCCCACCGTGCCCAAGTGCTTCTCTGCCCTTTGCTTGCCAGCAGAGTCTGTAAAGAAGCTGCCAACTTGCTGTGACGGCTTGTTCGCAGAAGACCTTTGCCCCGAATGGCAGGACAGGAGACCAGTGAGAAACAAAGAGCAGCAGCCACCACCACTGGACTGCTTCTAGGATGCCATGTGAGCCCTGTATGTATGCCATGACATACATTCACTTCCACATATACATGCACATAAATACACACTGACACAGATACAAGAGCTACACACATTGACACTCCAAGAGACAAACACACACGTACAAATAGATACTCACCCTTGCTTTTCAAGTCCAGTTCTCCTTCCTGCTGTGCACATTATAAATGTTTCCATTGAGTGCCAATAAGTCTGGTTCCAACCTTCCTGCAGACTCTGCTTCTCTGTCTTGCTTGACGGAAGGGAGTACAGGACTAATTACACAAATCCAAATACACTACTCAAATATTACATTTGAACATATATATACATATATATATATGGAAGTATATGAGAAAGTGCACACTTTCTCATATAGATTTTTTTTGGGGGATCTCCATTATTCCCTGTGAGGAATCAATGATGGTGGCAGTCAAAGTACCAATTTGTGAAATTATCCGCTCAAGTGCTGAAAGATAAAAAATTAAGAAAATAATTTTTTTTATTTTGCGCTTTCAGGTCTTTAGTAGATAATTCCACAATTTTTGATCATTATTAACACAAATGAATCTAAAACAAATCGCTTTGATTTATTATGAATCCATTCGTTTTCATTTCTTTATTTTCTGGCGATTCAGACAGAAACAGACAAAATTGCCGAATTTGGATGCAATTCAAAATGAAAAGCATGTCTCAAAAAAGGCAATGGGACAGAAAAGCAAATGTAGTCACTATATAAAGTAAAGAGGGTAGCTGCCTTTCTCTGTAACTGCACTCATCCATATTTCTCAACTTAAATTTTCCAGTTTAGTCCAGTCTTCCTTCATCGTGAAGATCATGCTCATTCTATTTCCAGAATGTTTAGATAGAATTTAATGTACTTACATACACAAGAGATCTTTAGTGAGGCATGAATGGGAGGTTTGTAATGTTTTCACTAAGCAGTCCTATGAGCAAATTCTACAGTGCTTCCAAGAAATTAAGGCGGCCACTTCAGAATATACTCATTTGGGACTGCTTAGAGTAAAGTGGAGTTTGTTAGAATAAAGACTGCTTGTATTAGAGGAAATCTATACATTCTAAATAGCTTTATCAGCAGTCAGAATGGATGGTTTACAAGAAGTGTAGTATTCCTAGATTTGCCATATACTTCATATCAGCTCAAAAAAATACAACGTATAAGGATCTTTAAACTTTTGGATAGATTAGATAGACCAGACTCCACTAAAGTGTGGCATGTCAGTATTTAATCCTTCCCAGGTTTCTGCAGACCACATTTTGATATTATGTAGCAATATAGTGTGTACTGTAGATAAATAAAATTAAACTAAAATCCCCATTCATCAGGTTTGGTAATCAGAGCATATAGGCAATTTGGCTGCGGTTTGTAAGCCCTTATCTGTGGTGGAGGGCCATACAAGGAACCTGTTAGTACAGCTTGAAGGTAATGATTCTACTCACCAGAACAAATGCAATAAGCTGTATTTCTGGCGACTATAGTGTCTCTTTAAGCTGTAGTTTCCTGCAGTGGCTCGGGAGCAAAAGCCTGCCTGAATGGCAAGCACCATTCCTCTTCCGAATTACACTACCTCTGGTAACAGTCACTCGGCCACTGGTAGGACTTCCCTGAAAAGGTCCTTCAAAGATTGCAGGTGTGAGACACCGAACTGACGTGTATTAGCCTTGCTTTTTTTTTTTCTCTATGGTGAAGCATTGAGTCCAAGCAATGTACGCATTCACATGAAGACAATGTTAAGTTGATTACTTTTAGTATACACAGGTGGAGGAACGTGGTGATGTGATACTCTATTTTAAACAGAAACTTTCAGAATGCATATATTTCTATCCCTAACCCATGTACCTTCTAGAGTTTGTATGCAGCAGTGTAGTAATAATGTAATCTGACAGCAAAACTTACCTAAAATTACTACAGCTTTATTGAACCTTTAATACTTGTTTCCAATACATTTGTCTAGCAAGAAATGCTGTGGAATACACTGTAAACCTTGAATTCATGGCACTTAAGATTCCTTAGAAAGGACCAACCTGCTAACACAAGGCAATCCATATTCTGGGTTACCTCCTACAAGACTTAGATCACATTTGATTACAAATCCAGTCAGTTTTAGATCTAGTGGACAACAGCTGCAAATGTTAGCTATGTCTAGAGGTTTACTTATTAAAGTAAAACACCCAAAATCAAAACGACTACAGTGGTTAAAGTGCCAGGAGTAGCAAGCTTGTGTGGTGATTGGAGTGTTCCCTTAAGTATATTAATATAGCAAGATATTTGGTATAATCCATGCAAGTTTCCTTTCATGATGTTCTAGTTTGAGTGGCAGTTTCTTAATCTTGTGCAAATCAAGGTTGATTGCAGTTAAAAACAGTAGGATAAATTAGATGCCAAAGATTGCATTTTGTGTAGAATTAAAACGAAACTATACACTTATCAGGACCAATCATTTCACTGTGTTTATTTCTTAGAGTCAACAATTTAAAAAAGTTCAAGGATGATCATAAGCCTGTGCAGAGCAGGCAGCAGTCATTTATACTCTCCCCATTCAACACAACCAATGTTGAGCAATGCAGGACAACTGAAGTGTAACCAACATAACCCCTTCAGAGCCAGAGGTTCTTACAACAGAACAGAAAGGTCCTCTGGCAGTGGAGGAGCAATTTTCAAAGGGCCAGCAGCAGAGTGTATCCCCCTGGTTTACTTGATAAGCAGGTTGTCCACTTCTTTGCATGTTCAGGCAAAAGCTGTTCATGAAGCACAAGACCTCTGTGCAAACAGGCTAAGTTGTGTCCTCTCAAATGCACTCAAGAGTCATCAGGTATGAACTGTAGGAAACCAAGAGCCATTACCTACAGTGGAGAACGATGGACTTTATTTCAACTATAAACGAAAGTGAATATGTAAAGACGTGCCTCCACTGGAATAATTTAGGGCCAAAGTAAATCATGAAGCTCAATGTTATCAGTCCAGTTTGAGTCTTAAGACTTTGCGTTATCCAGGTGATTTATAGATGAGAAGCAGCAGCCAGTTCCGATCCAAGGTGTGATTGTTACTGCAAAAGGATAAAAAATAAATAAATAAGGGGTAAACATTTAATTGTGTGTGGGAAAAACAAAACAAAAACAAACCCAAATGTATGCATGTATTCCTCTATTCAAACCGACAAGTCAAAGAATCAGACAAGGCAGAAAGCGCAAGGAAAGTTTCTATTGCATCTCTGTGCAAACCAAAAAGCAACTAAGTGGGCTCATGGTCTATCAATGGATGCTGAACTGTACATGCAAACCATGTACCACAATGACAAAGGTAACCCCCCGGTTTTGTACAAAGGATACCACATCACGTGACAATGGCTGTTTTGAAACAGAGAATGCAGTTTCAAACTTACACATTTCTCTAACTCCAGGCCATCCTTGAAGAATATCATGAAAGGAGTCAGACCATCTTCACGGAAATCAAGCAGAGCCACCATGCCCTCTGTGTTCATGCCTTCTCCTGTAAAGAACTAACAGAACCAATTGTTACTACTTTATCTGACTTGTGAAACCAAGATGAAAATTATAGTGGATTAGGAGAGAGGCAACATTTTAACAATGTTTAGTCATGTACCCTCCGCACCAAAAGAGCCATTAAGGGAAGACAAAATAAAAAATTACCTGGTAGTTTTTAAAGTTGCCAAGGATGTCTTTGATTTTCTCTGCAGCACCAGTCATGAAAGGTTTAACACGGCTTGGATTTGTTTCCTCAAGCTTGGCTTTGATTCTTAAAACAAGGGAAATGAAATATTTAATAAAGCATTTATTACACAACTGACATGTAAATGCAGTCTACTTGAGTGCTCAGACTTTAGATTTGTTTCATGGGAACAAGCCTCCAAAGGTGTCCTAAGTTAGTCATCATAGCATAACTCCAATACCAGTTTGCATTAGAGATAGACATTTAGGTACATGAAATATAGAATGTGCAGCATTGAAATCCCAGCATACGACCAAGATTTTCTACAATTTGTAATGCAATATACAAAAATCATAGTAGTCAGTTGGGTAAAGCATCAATTTTGCGAAGTGTTAAATCGGCTTTAAATTTGTAGACATGTTGCATTCAGTTCAGCCTGTCACCTCAAACACCATTGGCGTTTGTACTATCCATGCCACTTTTGTGCCAGCCTCATGTTGCATTTTAAATAAAATGTTTAAATACTGTGAGTTAGCATTTTTCTATTTGCTCTAACAGTGTTATTCACTAAAGTGAAAATTCACAGAATTTCAAGTTTAAGGCTGCCAAGCTTGCAGTTTTGGGCACTTTGCTTTAAAGTGACATTGTAGGCACCCAGACTACTTCAGCTAACTGAAGTTGAATGGCTACAGTGTCCCCATTGCACTTAGTGCTGCAATGTAAAACATTGCAGCTATAAGCTTGCACTCAGTGGCTGTCTACCAGACAGCTGAGCATGCGCATTAGGTCTCCCCTGTCAGCTGATGCTGGGGAGGAGAGTGGGCAGAGCCTGACCCAGCACTGAGGGACATTAAATCCTTAAAAAAAAAAAATCACACAATCCTTTGTAAGTCTGCAAGAACACAGCTCCTTAAGAACGAGGTGTTGGGAGGTGAAGAGAATGGTGTCAGATGCATGCATCAGTACATCTACCAATAAGGTCACCTTAACACCTTAAGGACCAAACTCCTGGAATAAAAGGGAAACATGACATGTCACGTGTCCTTAAGAGGTTAAAGGACCACTCCATACCAGGTAATTAAACTGGCTAAAGCGCTTTGTGTGCTTGAAATGTACCATTTATAAAAGGCAGTTTATTAAAGAAGCACCTCCCCAGCTGGAGAGGTTTGCACCCTACTGTTCGCTCCAAACAAAAGTGGCAGGTACACTACTTGAGCAAGCCTGCCTTCTGCCCATTCATTCACAGAGTTCACATCAAACCAGCAATCTTCCTGAACACTGAATTTCACTGTGCACTGCAACAGAGGCTTCTAATTGGTTTTAAGCTTGCAAGGAGCCAAATTCTCTTCTGAGGAAGGAGAGTGCTTGCAATGGTACCATCATAACTGCATGTAGTTATTAAGGGTATATCAACTAAATAGGGAATTTTAAAAATGCAAATTGCCCTTAAGGCAGCCATCAGAGCAGACTATTTACATGCTTTAGAAGTTTACTTACAGTTTCATGTAACCCTTAATATAAGATTTGTAAGATTCCTTTGTGAAGCCAGTTTCCTGAAGCTTGTGATTTAATACTATATCAACTCCTGTGACGGTTGTTAAATCTGACCCTTCATCTGGGGACTCAACAGATGCATTTGCACCAATCAGAACTTCATCAATTGAACCTTCTGTTCTAGTGACCATCTAAAAGAAAAGAAAACACATGCAATTAATGGAAGTCTAAGAACTGTGCCCTTTGTTGCATATTTCTTATATCAAGTTTGCCCCCTCCCAAGACATGTAGCCAAGTCGCTGACAGCACAGGTCTAGTCCTTTGCTATTAACAGTCCAACATTCCACATAAACGTGTTACTTGAGCATGCAGAAGTACAGAGGTCTTTAGGAGACCCTGAATTATGCATTTCATAAGAATACACATGAGACATTGAATTTACAAGTTCTGCCTTGTTAATACAGTAACTTATCACAAGTAGTACCCACTTTGTCTTACAGTAACTAGGACACCTTTCAGTGTCTTTGATGCTGTAGTATTTAACTGAAGCTATCCCCGTGTGTGCACTACTTTTTTCTTTAGCACCTGGCACTTAACCTGCCAAGAGCCATGTCGGTGCAGTACTAAAGCATGAGCGAGTGTACAACACTGATGTCTATGAAAGTTCCCAAAACTCCAAAGACCATGTCTCACAATAAGACTAGCTCCCATAGTAGTTGCTAGCACACACGCAGTATAACAGACTTCAATTAATAACTCCAGGTGGTAGTTTTCAAGTGACCACAATATTTCACGTTAGCAGTACGTTTCCCATTGGAAATGAATGCTGAAGTGGAAACGACCTAGATTAAAATGGAAGCATCACTACCCAAGGACTTTGCAAAGACCAGACTGACATTGCCACGGGTGGTTTGGGTGGGGCAGGTAAAGTTTACCTACTTGAACCTTAAGAGTGATGTCATCTTCCTTTCGTCTGTTCTCTAACCAGGAGCCAATAGCATTGCGGTGTATGAAGGATGCCTCTAAGGTTTTCCCAAAGAGCCAAATCTCTACAGAGCTCACTGGGATTTACACTGTAGCAGCAGAAAGTGTCTAAGAAAGTAATGTGGAGGAAATCTACAGAGACAAAGTAGTTCCTACTTTATATATCTTGACTGGGTTAGAATACCAGTGAATTTCCAGAAGTCAGAAAAAGTATTTCATAAAGATTCAATCTTTATAAAATACTTACAGGATCATTAGTGTTAGGAAAACAACGATTTTCCCGACACCATAGTGCCCTGAGGGCGACATCTCCTCCCCCACCGTTAGCGGAGACGAATGCGCATGCGTGGCAGGGCCGCACATGCATTCAAAGTGTCCATAGGAAAGCATTTTCAGTGCTTTCCTATTGACGCATAAAATGCCTCCAGCGTCACAGATGCACCTCTAGTCGCTGGATTAATCCCAAATGTAAACAGCAGTTTCTCTGAAACTGTTTGCATCTGAAGGGTTAAAACCTGAGGGACCTGGCACCCAGAACACTTCATTGCGCTGAAGTGGTCTGGTTGACTATAGTGTCCCTTTAAGTGAGAAAATTCACAACTCAAATACAAAAAATATTCTTTTATAAAGATAATACTGTTTATTTTACATACACACCATAAAGTGAACGCATTTACACATTATTCCATTGGCAAAGATTAAAAACAGCTTTCAAATGCTGCAGATTCTTTGCTAACACCCTTCCCTTTCTAAACCCACCCAGACTGTCAGTGGCTGTGCGGTCAAGACTGTCCTGCACAGCTACGAGTTCTTAACAAGGCAGTTCCCTATCATTTGATTTTAGTTCCACGGAGCCAAATACAGGAAGTAACATGGTTTATTTAAGAAGTGCTAAAAAAATTCTACTGACATCTACACCTCAAAAAACAAAAAACAAAAACAAAAAAACACCCCACAAAGTACAATAAAAGTCCAAAGTACACTTTAGTGTTTGAGGTAGCTAATATTTTGGCACTAGTCAAGTGATTTACGCAAAAAAAACCCACTAACCTTGCCTTCAACTTCATAGCAAAGTCCACAACTGCTTTCTTTGATTTTGTAGATGTCTGAGAACATCTCGTCTTCTAAAAGAGAAGAAAAAAAAAAAAAATTGAATTGTGAAACATTTAAAAATTGAAAGTGCAGGATGGTAAACAACCAGAACAATTGAGTAGATGTTACATTGCCAGAAATCACACTTTCCCCTTACCCGGGTCTCCATCAGACTTCAATGCTCCTCAGTGATCCAAGCATAACAGCATGCGCTAAGCCAGGCATAGGCAACCTTCGGCACTGCAGATGTTTTGGACTACACCTCCCATGATGCTGTGCCAGCACTATGGGTGTAAGTATTATGGGGGATGTAGTCCACAGCATGTGGAGTGCCAGAGGCTGCCGTTAGCCAGGATCCCCAGCTAGTAGAACACACCCTTCCATCCCTGTTAGTAGGATCCTGTCTCTAGCATGCCCCCCCCCCCATGCTGCCCGGCGCGGGGGTCCCACGTGGCGAGGAGCGCGCACAGTGCAGCAGGACTCCGCCCGGCCGCCATTACCCGGCGCGGCTCTAGCAGGACAGCCGGAGTGTGAGCCCACTGATCCGGCCGCCAGACTGCCGATTGAAAGTTACTGATTAGATCTCCAACGGATGGAAGAAGAAAAAATCCGCCCAGTCTCTCAAACCCTCCCCCCCCCCCATTCCGCGCCAAGTCTGCCTGGTAACAGCACACCGCACCACAGCCCCACCCATTTCATGGCAGTGACGCGCCGTAGACCGTGACGTCAGAACATTTTCCCCCTGAATAAGCCCAGTCCCCCGGCATGGCCTAGCGGGGGGGGATGGGAGAACCCGGGATCGCGTGCTGCTGAGTTAGGTGTGAGGCCCCCCGGGGGGAGAGGATTGGCCGTTGAGAGCGTGGCCTGCCCGCGTGCCATGAGTAATAAGGATTCCAGCGGTAGAGTCCGCGCGGGGAGCGGCGGGAAGGGCTCGTGTGGCGCCCGCCAGAGAACGTTCCAGAAGCTTGGGAACGCGACGTCGCGAGCCGCTCCCGTCACAGCGCGCGCTCCCACACCAGCAGCACGAGGACCCAGGCCGGCGCTCTGACAGGAAAACTCCCTTTCCCACTTCGGTAATATAGATCGCACCGGCTGCTAACACGGCCATCCTGCAGCGGGAGAGAAGCGCTACTCACTGGAGATGATATCCTTGTAGATGATCATGGCGGCGGGGTACTGAGCGGCTCTGTCCCGGAGCGGTCTATCGGAGGCTCAGCGCCTGCAGAGGGTGGGGAGAGGAAAAGAACGAGTCAGAGCTTCACTCGGCTCATATAGAGGCGGCGCGGCCCCTGTGACGCACACAGCACATGCGCACTAGGGGCTGAGGCGGGGCTCGCGCTATCAATTGCGTCATGTGCGCCAATGGCCGAAGGGAGCGGCGGGGAACGCCCTGCGAACAGACCATAGAGGCCGGGACTCCGCTCTAGCGCAGAGACCCAGCGCGGCACCACGGTAGCAGCCGCCCACAGCGCCCTCTGCAGGCAGGCTGGGACACTGCCTGGCTCACTAAACTTTGTCTTAGTTCGGTAAAAGGTCAGGAAACCACTGGAAACCCGGTCTGTTCCAAACATTATATTATATACACTCTCTGGGATACACTCTCCTTTATGGTAACAGCATTCATTTTCACAGTTTTGTCCAACTTAGCGGCCAATTACATGTAGGAAAACCCACTGGCCGAGTGCTGACAGTAAATAAGAGTCAGCTGTCAGCCCCTCAGATTGCTCTGTCTGCATATTAACATTTATCGTATGCTCAGTCAAAGGTGTGCTACTACTAAATAAACGCCAATGGTGGCTGCTGCTGCCGCTGTCATTTCTGTGGTAATAAATGCTGGTTAAAGATTGTGAACTTCCGTTTGGTAAGTGCCTGATCCCAGACAAGGATCAGGTAGCTGACATTGTTCCTTTAAAAGGACCCGATAGGCACCCAGACCTCATCATCCCATTAAAGGACCCGATAGGCACCCAGACCTCATCATCCCATTAAAGGACCCGATAGGCACCCAGACCTCATCATCCCATTAAAGGACCCGATATGCACCCAGACCTCATCATCCCATTAAAGGACCCGATATGCACCCAGACCTCATCATCCCATTAAAGGACTCAATAGGCACCCAGACCTCATCATCCCATTAAGGGACCCGATAGGTACCCAGACCTTATCATCCCATTAAAGGACCCGATATGCACCCAGACCTCATCATCCCATTAAAGGACTCAATAGGCACCCAGACCTCATCATCCCATTAAAGGACTCAATAGGCACCCAGACCTCATCATCCCATTAAAGGACTCAATAGGCACCCAGACCTCATCATCCCATTAAGGGACCCGATCAGGGCCGTCTTTAATGCAGGGCAAACAGGGCCCAATTACTCCTGGGGGCCGAAGGCAGCTGTCCCGTGGGCCCCGCTGCCCTAAAAAAATAAATAAAATGTTTCCCGGCCGCTTTAGGCGGGCCCCGCACTGTAAGGAGTCCAACCGGGTGGCCCATGCACTTAGGGCCACCCAGTGGGCTTGTACCAGCAGGGGCCCGGTCGGGCGCTGTGGCCCTTTAACACGACCGGGCCTCTTGCGTTTCGGCAGCGCTGGGAGGAAGTGAGTGCCGAGCGTCACTTCCTCCCATAAAGAGCTGCTGCGCGGGAGAAGAAGGACCTGCACGGGAGGGAGGAGGAGGCAGTGAGGATAGGGGCTCCTCACTCACATCATCCTCAGGCAGCACACTGGATCCCAGGGATGCCACCCTCCAGCAAAAGGTAGGAAACTGGAGGGTGGGCTTAAAATGTACATTTTACATGTATGTCAGTATGTCTGTGTGTGTGTGTGTCAGTATGTCTGACAGTGTATGTGTCTGTCAGTATGTCTGTGTGTGTCAGTATGTCAGTGTGTGTCTGTGTATGTCAGTATGTCTGATAGTGTATGTGTGTATGTCAGTATGTTTGACAGTGTCTGTATCTGTGTGTGTGTCAGAAGGTCTGTGTGTGTCAGTATGTCTGTGAGTGTATGTCAGTATGTCTGACAGTGTATGTATCTGTGTGTGTCAGTATGTCTGTCAGTGTATGTGCCTGTTTGTGTGTCAGTATGCCTATCAGTGTATGTATCTGTGTGTGTCAGTATGTCTATCAGTGTATGTATCTGTGTGTGTCAGTATGTCTGCCAGTGTATGTGCCTGTGTGTCAGCATGTCTATCAGTGTATGTATTAGGGATCGACCGATTATCGGTCTGGCCGATATTATCGGCCGATATTTGGTATTTTCGGCAATATCGGTATCGGCCAATTCAGATACCAATATTGCCGATAATATATAACAGGACCGCCGTGCCCATTACAAGCCCGGCGGTCCTGTGGGGGCCAGCAGCAATCGCTGATTTACCTTGCATGCAGCTCCAGCAGCTCCCTGTGTAAATCTCGCGAGACCCGCGGCCGCAGAGCGTTGCCACGGGTTACCATGGCATCGCTCCGCGCGGCACTAAGAGCCGCGAGATTTACACAGGGAGCTGTAGGAGCTGCTTGCAAGGTAAGTCAGCGCTTGCTGCTGCTGAGCCACCACTGTACTTAACAAGCCACTGGACCACCAGGGAATACTATATCCCCAGGGAGGGGGGACTAAACAAAAAACAAAAAAAAAACATTTAAATATTAAAAAAAATATTAAAATAAAAAATTACACAAATTACATCACTACACAAACACACACACACACACACAAACACATACTGCATTACATACACACTACACATACACACACTACACAGACACACACACTACACACACCACAAACACACACACCACACAAACACACACACCACACAAACACACACTGGGGGGGGACTAAACAAAAAAAAACATTTAAATATTTAAAAAAATATTAAAATAAAAAATTACACAAATTACATCACTACACAAACACACACACACACTACACAAACACACACTGCACACATACTGCATTACATACACACACACTGCATTACATGCACACACACTGCATTACATACACACACACTACACAGACAGACACTACACACACACCACAAACACACACTGCACACATACTGCATTACAGACACACACTGCACACACTACACTGCACACACACTGCATTACATACACACTACACAAACACAGTACACATACTGCATTACATACACACACACTGCATTACATACACACTACACAGACACACACACTGCATTACATACACACTACACAAACACACACTGCATTACATACATACACACTACACAAACACACACACTGCATTACATACACACACAAAAACACACTGCATTATACACACACTACATAAACACACTGCATTATATACACACTACACACACTGCATTATATACACACACTCTGCACCCACTACACACACACACTACACAAACACACACAGTTCCCCTGTCTAAACACACTTCATCCACTACATGTGGCATGTATATTTTGTGCATTTACCTTTCGAATTAGTTTATTTATTCAAAATAGTAAATGTACAGAATATCGGCAAGATATCGGCTATCGGCCTGAAAGTTCGCAGATTATCGGTATCGGTATCGGCTCTAAAAAATCAATATCGGTCGATCCCTAGTATGTATCTGTGTGTGTCAGTATGTCTATCAGTGTATGTATCTGTGTGTGTCAGTATGTCTGCTAGTGTATGTGCCTGTGTGTCAGTATGTCTTCCAGTGTATGTGTGTGTGTGTGTGTGTGTGTGTGTCAGGCACATACACTGATATACATACTGATACAGGCACACTAACAGACATACTGACACACACAGGCACATACAATGACAAACATACTGACACACACACAGGCACATACACTGACAGACATACATACACACGCATATATACAGACATACTGACACACACACACACAGGCACTTATACTGATAGATTGTCAGGAAACTGACAGGGATCCAATACGCAGAGTGCGCACAGAAGGAGGTACGTATACCGGACCTTAGAATGGCCGGACTAACGTAAGGACAAAGCAAGAATAGTCAAAAGGTAAGCCGAGGTCAAGGGAGCCGGAGGACAGGTAAGCGAGATACAAGCCGAGTCAAAGGAGAGGAGAGGACAACAGGACAAAAGACAAGCAAGGGTCAAACCGGAAACACAAGATAAAGAACGCGCTGAGTGACTAGCAAGCTAGAACCACGACAGGGCAATGAGCAGTAGTAAAGGTTTCCTTTAAATACCCTGTTACCTAAATAGGGACCACGCCCTCAAAAGGTCCAGAATAGCGGTTCCCGGCACTTCATGTAAATGCCGATGTCATGACGTCGACGCTAGCCGTCGCGTCATAAAAGGGGGAGGAGCTAGCGCGGCCGGCGCGAAAACGGCCGGAAATGCTAGGGGCAGGGAGCCCCTAAACAGAGAGGATGTCTTCCCTGGATTCAGCACCAACAGGTACCCTGACAGTACCCCCCCTTCTAGAAACGCCCACCGGGCGGATGGGACCGGGCTTAGAAGGAAAACGAACGTGGAAGGCCCGAAGAAGACGAGGAGCATGCACGCCTATACCAGGAACCCAAGACCTCTCTTCTGGACCATAACCTTTCCAGTCTATGAGGTATTGCAGCTTCCCCCTAGAAATACGAGAATCAAGGATGGACTTGATGATATATTCCTCCTGACCATCCACACGGACCGAGGATGGAGGAGCAGAGTGGGAGGAAAATCTGTTACAAACAAGAGGTTTCAATAAAGACACATGAAAAGAGTTAGGGATGCGTAGAGTAGGAGGCAGATCCAGCAAATAAGAAACCGGGTTGATCCTCCTCAGTACCCTGTAAGGACCAATGTAACGAGGAGCAAACTTCAAGGAAGGAACTTTCAGGCGAATGTGTCTGGTACACAACCAAACCCTATCCCCCGGAGAAAAAATAGGAGCAGGACGTCTACGCCTATCAGCATGTGACTTAAACACCGTGGAACTACGTTCAAGAATTTGTCGAGTCTGATCCCACAACTTTCTCAGGTTGGCTATATGAATATCAACCGACGGTATACCCTGGGAAGGAGACACCGACGGAAGAACAGTAGGGCTAAAGCCATAGTTCAAGAAAAAGGGGCTATTACGAGTGGAACCACAAACAAGGTTGTTGTGAGCAAACTCCGCCCAAGGAATCAGACCGACCCAGTCATCC